GCCACCATCTTGGCTCCACCCCTCCCACCTGCCTTTTTAAACTTCTAGCCACACTGGCTCTTTGCTGCTCATGAAAATATAACCTTGTCTCTGCCTTCGCACCTTTGCTCCTGTGCATGCAAAGTCCTCAACCCGAGCCAATATGCCTGCTCCCAACTCTGGAATTGCAGCCATCGCCTCACTTTCCTATTGTCTCAGAAAGGCTGCTGCTGACTACCGAAATAGCTCCTCTGGAGATGAGTTACACTGGCATCTAATGCTCTTCTTTACAGATAACATCTGTGATAACACCTAAATCTTCACCACAGCATACAGCTCCAAAAGCACAGGCTCTATCAGCACTTAAAACACCACCTGTCACTGCAGACGGAGTTCATTTCAAATCTCACCTGCAATCGCGGACGTGTTCTGAGGCGAGCTGGCTAGGTGGAAGGGAGAGGGTGCACCCAGGGAGTTCGGATTCAATCCTCCACAGAAAGGGTTCTTGAGATCAGTTCTCCCCCTCCATCCAGAGCCAAATCCAAATGCTCCAGTGGTGGAGAGGCTCTGGGGGGCAGCCACGCTTGTCCCAAAGCCACCATTGCCAGTGGGACCTGCTGACACCCTGGATGGGAAGGGTGCTGAGATGGGAAGGGGCTGCCAAACACTGATGTACTGGTCCCGCAGCTGGTGGTCTGGGTCACAGCTCCAAGGCCGGAGGTGATTGCTGCAAAAAGGAGGAAACATGGACCCCATACACAAAAGTAAATTCAAAATTGATCGAACTCCTGAATGTAAGCCATGAAAATATAAACCTCTTAGAGAAAAACCGGCGAAAATATCTTCGACATTAACATGAGCAACTTCATCGTGAACATCTCTCTCCAGGGAAAGGAAAGAAAAGCAAAAATGAACAAATGGGACTATATCAAGCTTAAAAGCTTCTGTACAGTAAAGGGCACCATCAACAGAACAAAAGGGCATCCTACAGTATAAGAGAATACATGCATAAATGACAGATCTGAAAAAGGGTTGACATCCAAAATATATAAAGAGCAAACACACCTCAACAACCAAAAAGCAAATATTCCAATAAAAAAAATGGGCAGGGGAGCTGAACAGGCAGTTCTCGATAGAAGAAATTCAGATGGCTTATAGGCGCATGGAAAGATGCACCACATTGCTTGTCATCAGAGAAATGCAAATTAAAACCACAATGAGATATCACCTCACACCAGTAAGGATCGCCTCCATCCAAAAGACAAACCACAACAAATGTTGGCAAGGTTGTGGGGAGAGGGGAACC